CGGCGGCGATGCCGAGGGGCCCGGCTCGGCGGGGCGCGCCCGCGGGGCCATGAGGGCGGGCTCCGGCCATGGCCCATGGCAGCGCGGCGGTCATGCTGAAGTGCGTGGTGGTGGGGGACGGCGCCGTGGGCAAGACGTGCCTGCTGATGAGCTACGCCAACGACGCCTTCCCCGAGGAGTACGTGCCCACCGTCTTCGACCACTACGCAGGTGAGCGGGCGGGGGGTCCCGCTACCGCCGGGGGCGGCAGCCGCGCTCTCCCCTCCCTCCTCCCTCCATCCCCTGGCCTTGCCCTGCCGGGGGGGCCGGCAGAGGGGTCGGCCGGGCTTGCCCCCCTCACCCGCTGTGTTTCTCCCCCCTCGCAGTCAGCGTTACCGTCGGGGGCAAGCAGTACCTGCTGGGGCTGTACGACACCGCCGGCCAGGTGAGTGCCGAGCGCTGCCCGCGGATCCTCGGCCCCGTCCCCCCGCCCGCCGGTGATCCCGGCGCTGAAGTTATTCGCAGGGCTGTGGTCCGGGCTGGGCGGTTCAGAGGCGGGTTGGAGGGGGTGGGGGGCGATTGATAAAATCCTGCTTTAAAAGAAAACCATCGATCCAACCTCGATTCCCGAGGGCGGGCAGGCGGAGACGGGCTTTATTTTTAGCGGTACCGGGGCCGAGGCGCCACGGCATCGCCCGGCGCTGGGGCGGGGGGATGCCCGGCGCCCGCGGGGCAGTGCTCCGGGCCGGGCATCGCCACCGGCCAGATCCCCTTCCTCGGGGTGCCGACCCTCCCGCCGGCCTTCGGGTGGGGAAACGTGCCCCGTTCAGCACAGAGGCACACGCTGCCTCAGCCGCCTCGGGTGGGATGGAGAGCCAGGCTGCCGCAGCTTGCCTTGGTTGTGGCTTACAGCACTCAAATAGCTACAAAGAGTTGTTCGAACTAAAGGTGGAAAAGAATAGCATGTAATTCTCAGCCACTGCCTTTGAGATAACCTGGGTTTCTTTTGCTATCCCAGACAACTCAAGTGATTAATTTGGTTAAGATCATTACAGCCAGTTGTGAAAGATGCTGTGATGTCAGCATGACTCTTAAGTAACTTTAATGATGGATAAAATACTGGATGTTTGGAGGGATCACTGGTCTAGTGGTTTCTAAAGGATTCCATGATTCAAATAATCTCTTCCTTAGCTTAACTTGCATGGTACCAGCCACGAGCCAAGTAGAGTCTCCAGGGTTAGAGTACTTTCTGGGGATTGTTTATTTGAAACCGTTGGTGAAGAGCCTGACCCCAGGAGATGCAGGCATCTCCCAGGGAGGTGCAGAGCATGTACAGAAACGTGGCATGGGTTTCTGTAAAGTTGTGTATTCTCTATATTAAACTTCTTCTTGCAGTGTGAGCATGTGCTTTGGTCTCACATGACCTCAGACATGCTTCCTTGTTGTAAAGAGCAACTCGTAAGACAATCTCACTGAAGTTGCACAGACTGAAGCTGTAATTTTTAACCATGTTGTTCCTATACTTAATTGAATGACTGCTGCCTGAATTTTTAGATCTGTATATAGCTTTGAGTTAGGGAATCAGCATTTAACTAGTCTTAAATCTTTGTTAGGCCTGAAATCGGTAAAAAAATTAATTCCATGAGAATTGTAGGAAACAGCGCCATTTCCAGAAAGCTGATACCCTGAAGGATGAGACTCTTCCCACAGACTGACTTCATGCTTGTCATCTCCCTGATATAAACACAAGCTAGTCAAATTTATGCCAGCTAAGTGCATTTCTTACTACTATCATACTCCTGTTTTTGAATAGTAATTAGTTCAGAACACAGCTTTAAAATGTTGCTCAAGTAGGTTGCAAAGTGAGGATCTAGTGTTCAGACAAAGCATTTGGTTAGCATGCAACTAATTTTTTTTTTTTTTTTTATAATGAGCATTGGAAAGTGTGAAAGTGAGCCTAGCACTTGTGTACATATGCACGGTTTATTTGAGCCCTTGTTCTGGTCTTGTTGCTATTAATGTGAGTATGTGTTAGCTCAGTGTAACCTTAACTAAGGTGGCTTTGTGGTACCCCACTCTGCCTGAATGTGCTGACTGCAAACACAGGTAAACTGGACAGTTTACAACAAACAGCGAATTAAGATGCTCCTGTTACACTAAGAAAAACTTTTCAGTGTGAAGCTTTATATAGAGAAAGTTGAGGTAAGCTTTTTTTTTTCACAATTTTTGAAAAGTCAGATCTTCATTTTGAATTCCAGGGCAGTTTTTGAGGCACCTAGAAATAGATCTTCTTGGCCTGATTCAAAGGACCCTCAGTTCACACAGGGTGTTTTAATGAGGCTATCTTTACAGATATATCTGGTCTTGGCAAAACTTCCCTTTTAGTCAGACCTGTGGTACTAATAAAATCTTTACCACTATCCCCATCACACTTCAGCATGTTTGGGGAACTGGTGCATGTCAGAGACTGCCCACGGGAGCCCCATCCCTACATCCAGTACGACTAAAGAAGGTAGTCTGTATCAAGATGCCAGTCCAGCAACTTCATTCAGTGAAAAGCTGCTTTGTCAGAGCATCTGACAAGCCTGTCTTCCTAAAGCTACACAATAATAGAAAGCTTACATTAAAACTTAAATATATATAGTAAAGAGGAGAAAAGACATGAGTTGATGATGTCTTCTCTGTGTTGAGGAAACTGCATGCTGTACCTGGTACATGCCTGCTGCTTTCACAGACTTCCATATGGATCGGATACATTGCTGCCCAAAGCTGGGATTTCTGTGCCAGCATACATGAATGCTTTTGTCTCTAATTCTGTCACCCCCAAATAATTTTAATGTAAAATATTGGCCTGACAGTATAGTTTTATAAAACTTGGCTATGTGTGATTACTGTGGTATCTAAGCAGTTCACAATCATCAGCAGGTTTATACTTCCAGCCTTGGACAAAGTAAATAGGTCCAATCTGCAGATCTCAATTCAGGGGGAAGAGGAGTGAAAGGGATTAATAAAAGTTCAGATAGTGACTTACTCCAAATCCATGCAGAAAGCCCTTAGCAGAAGAAAGATTAAAGACAAGATTTTGATTCATAGCTGGTGCACAGCAGGCTCATCACCCTGAAATACTGGCTTATCAGTGTGTGGGTCTCTTTAACTTGCGTGGTTATGTATTTAGCAACTTGTGACAGACTTTGCTTTGGCAGAGGAGTTGCAAGCTTTTGAGTTCATTGCAAGCTTTTGAGTTCATCCAGTACTTGTTCCTAGCTCGCTTCCTCACAACACACACAGGATCACATGTAGTAACTATAACGATGACATAAGGCCTCATATCTTCATGAGTTTAAAGTAGGTTGAAAACAAACCTATTAAAATCCCATTTTTCCCCCGGTAATATATATAGCAAGGAAAAATGCCACTAGTGGTTCACAAAGTTCAGTTTACACACAGGCCTTTGAGTGTGTGTGAGTTCAAGAAGGCTTTTCTCTGTCTGAAAATACTGAGGCCCTGGTTCAGCAGAAAATAGCCAGTACAGCTGCTGGGCTGTGGAGGCTCTGAGAGCCCATTTGGGTTTGCAGCTGTGAAGGCAGCCTCCTGTGTCAGGGAGGTGGGCGGGAATTTGGTGTCATTCCTCCAGCAATTCCTCCCAGAGGTGCAGTTAGCAGCTCCTTTTAGCCTTGCTGCATGCACTGGGTGGGTTTAGAGCAGGTCTTGGTTTCCCCAGAAGATGAGAACTGTGGAACATACCTACACTGAAGACATATCAGTGCACTGAAGTTTAAACATGAGGTGCTTGTGATACTGATGTTTGGAGGCCTCTGGCTTTGCAGCAGCCTCTTTTGGGAGACTGTGTGTCAATACTGCTCTTCATTGAACAGAGGTACATGGCAAAATCAGCTTGGGAAGAGAACCATGACTTCATCAGGGGTCTGTTAAGATCACCATGTTGGAGTGGTTTTGAACTGCTGGCAAGTGATTATCATTTTGCTCTTCCAAGATATCAGAAGTAATACTGCCAGCTCTCAAGGTGTTAACATTTTTGGAGGAGTGTCTACAAGCACTAACAAAGGGGTGCCACAGGTCCCTTTGCCATGTCCCAAGTGGTCAGAATAAGTGGTAGGACACACAGGAGTTGCCTTTTGGGGATTTTGCACTATATTCAAGGCTGTTGTTTAAAATTACAGTTGGAGTCTTCCCTTCTGCTGTAGGATTTTAATTCATGGTGTCCCTTTCTTCCAGTGTGTGCTGACCACATGCAGGGGGAAGTCTTGCTCTGCTTCTTTGTCTTTGCTGTAAAGGATGGTTGGGATCTAGAGGAAGGATGGGGAGGCTGCAGTAGCAGAGCCTGTACTGCTTGTGTTACTCCAGGAAAAGAGATGCTGAGGCATGGCATGACTGCTTGGTACAGATTTGGCACCAAGCCAGCATCTGGGCAGAGCAGGGTTTGGTGAATTATGAGGCACTACAGTGCAGTGCCTCATAATAACATTTATATCCCTCAGCATCACTTACTGTTGATACTAGCAGGGCCTGGTCATACAAAGCTGAGGTGAACTGTGTTCCTGGGCTCTCTGCTTTTATATTTCTGCCTTAAACACCCTAACACAGGTCTGATACAATGAAGCTCTTGGTGCCTTTTCACCTGTCCCCAGAACAGTACCACAAAACATGGTATTCACAAGCACAGAACAAGCCACTTTGCACGTTTCAGCTCAGATGGTCACAGTGGTTGCAGCCACAACCATCTTAATTCAGATAAACTGATTTTTTGGTTGTAACAGAAGCCCTGATGCTAAAGCAATTTTAAGTTGGTCAGGCTGCTGAAGTGTATAAAGCTAACTCAACTATTAGGGAGATGAGTGTGTGCATTAAGGAGAGGTGTAAAAACAAATAGTTATAAATGTGAAAGTGTCTGTGTTTGAGGTGTGGCTATTAAAATGGATAGTTCCCAAACCTGTGTGGTTGCTATAAATAAATAGCAGTAATCTTTATACTCCTTGTTGGCTCTTTGTCTTGGCTTTGATAAGTAGCCCTGGTCTAGCCCTAGGTACCACTCCAGTATCTTACTGAGAAGAGAGGCAGCTGCTGGTCTATTGCGAAATAGAAATGTCCTTCCTCAGAGCACACTGCTCCTTCTGAGTTGCCCCTACCAGGCAGCCGTAACTCCAAATGTCAGCCTGGAGTGAAGCAGTCTCACACAATGCAAAGCCTGCCACCCTTTACTGCAGAGGTGTAAACACCGAGACGTCCAACGTGATTTTGGCAGATCTAAATCTAAACATGAAATGTTAGCAACTAACATCCTCTCTCCTTTCTGCCCCCGTCCCCGTGCCTCCCTCCTCCCACATGCGTTCTCCCTCGCTCCCTTTACATGTCCCAGCCGAGCCAGCAGCTGGCACTGGGGAGGCTGTGAGCTCATGAGCTCACTCCCAGCCCAGCGTGCTGGCC